GCCGGCTCCGCCCTCCGCCGCGGCCGGGGAGGGGGCCTTGAAGGCCGACGTCAGCGCCCAGCGCTGAAACCCTGCCAACGCAGGTGTGCGGGAGCCAGCGCAGCGCGGGTGGGGAGGGACTCCGAGGACGGCGGACCCTGCCACCCCGCCCCCGCCTCGAGCCCAGGCCCAAGCGCTGCGGGGAGGAGGAGGGGGCGCCCCCGATTCTCCAGGGCCTTCCTGGCTCGGCCCCGCCTCCACCCCGCCACTCTCCTTGCCCAGTACTAATAACAGCCACGGCGGCTAGGTGGGTGCAATGCTCTTGGGGCCGTGCATGGGCACGCACACCCTGATTCTTGAGCACGGCCGAACAGGCACCGTCAGGTACTGTCCTGTGGGACGCAGAAGGAAACGGGCGCAGAGAGGCTGGGGACTTGCGGGGCGCACGCCGCCGGCTCACTGAGCGCCGACTAAGGCCGGACCCCTGGCCGGTGCCTGAGACGCTTTAGTCACCATCGCATTGACTCTTCTCGGCAGCTCTCTTTCTGTCTCTGTTTTACAGATAAAGAAACTGAGGTTCCGAGGCGTGTGCTCTCTTGGCCGAGGTAAACAACTGGAGCTAAGACCCGCAGATTGCACCCCGGGGCTGTATTCGGGGCTGGCGGGGGGGGGGGGGGGGGGGCGTCCAGGGAAAGGAGGGAGAGGAGGGAGTGGCCCGGGAAAGGGGTGATGTGCTGGTTATCAGGTGGTACAAGAGGCTGTCATGCCTCAGTGTTTGGACCCACACAGGCCCGACTGGCCTTCCAGGCTCTTCAAGGCGCTTGCTGTGTGACCTCTGGATGATGGCATCACCTCTCTGAACCCTAACTCTTTCATTTGTGAAATGGGCGACACACTCCCTGCCTCGGGGATGTAGGTGTAGATCACATACACAAAGCACTCACATCAGGTGTGATAACCAATGTCCCACATTTCCCCAAAGCCTGGCAAATGCAGGCACTCTGAATATATTTGATGATGTTGAGGGATATCATTATGCGGTACTGGCTCTGTCAGTCTGAAGAAGGGACCCTCCTCACCCCTCCCTCACGGAGCCCACCCGGCTTACACCGCCTTCTCCTTCCCAGAGGCCCTCCATCTCAGCCAACCCAGTCAGCCAAACTGGAGGATTCCCCTCCCGACGTGGGGCTGGCCAGAGTTCCCTCGCTCGAGGGCTCCAGGGCTCCAGGGCTCCGTGCCAAGAGTCCAGACGCTGGAGTTGGCACGGGCCCCACTCCGGGGGAGAGCAGATGGTGTCTGCAAGTGCACTTGGCTCAGCCAAAGTTTCTGACAGACGACAGGCGGGGAGACCCACTGGAGGCTAGATGAGAGGGACCTGGAGCGGGGTTGTTTTATCTGGGAGAGATAACCTGTCACTAGCTCCTTAACCAGGCTCTGGTTGTTTTTTCATACAGCTTATCACTACGAAACATAGTCTATATTTCTGCTGTTTGTAGTCTGAATCCTCCCCCCATCAGTATCAGCTTCAGGAGGGCTGGGATTTGATCTGATCGCTTTTGTTCACTGCTGTGCCTCAGGGCCTGGAACAGTGCCTGGCACAAAGTAGCCCTTCAATACATATTTGTAGGAAATGGGGGCGGGGGGCATCGATTTTCCACCAAATCTTGGAGCACTTTCTACTGTCGCTCGGCATATCCGATGACCCAGAAATTCCATTCCAACCAGATGTGAATATATGTCCACCACAAGGCAAATCTCCATCCGATGGATGGGTAAATAAGCTGTAGCATCTTCCTACCAAGAAAACTATACAGCAAAGAAAAGGAAAGATCTACAGCCACGTGCAACAGTGTGGGTGAGTTTCACCATCGAAATGCTGAGCACAAGACGGAAGACACAAAACAGTGTGTACGGTGTGATTTCATTTATATAAAATTCAAAACCAGGCAAAAGTAATCCATGTTGGTAGAAGTCCAGTTAGTCGTTACCCTCGGGGGCACTCTGAGGAAAGGTCATGTTCTTCTCTTGAGCTGACCTCTGATGATCAGGTGTGGTTAGTTTCTGGAATTTAATCCAGCTGTTGTTCACTTATGATTTATGCACTTTTCTGGACATAGATTATACTCCAAAACAGTTTTTTTTTAAAGTGAGTTGGATCTCTGCAGACTGACCTGGGTCACTTTTTAAGATGTATCACTGAGGGAAAAAAGCAAGATAAAAAACACTACATACCGTCGCTATGGAAAACAGTATGGCAGTTCCTCCAAAAATTAAAAATAGAATTACCATATAACCCAGCAGTTCTACTTCTGGGTAGGTACCCCGAAGAGCTGAAAGCAGGGTCTTGAAGAGACATCTGTACAGGCATGTTCAGAGCAGTGTTATTCACTAGAGCCACGAGATGGAAGCAACCCCAGGGTCCATCGACAGATGACTGCATGAAGAAAATGGGGTACCTATTATCCAGCCTTAAAAAAAGAGAAAGAAAATTCCAGGGCGCCTGGCTGGCTCAGTCAGTAAAGTGTGCGACTCTTGATCTCAGGGTTGTGAGTTCAAGCCCCACGTTGGGTGTGGAGCCTACTTTAAAAAAATGATAAAATAAATAAAACAAAAAGGGAGAAAATTAGGACGTGCGGGACAAGATGGACTAACCATGAGGACATTATAAAAGGACATTATAAAAGCTGCTCAACCATTCCACCTCTGTGAGGCACCCAGATAGTCGTATTAATAGAGACAGAAAGCAGAGAGGTGGGGCGCCTGGGTGGCTCGGTCGTTAAGTGTCTGCCTTCAGCTCAGGTCATGATCCCAGGGTCCTGGGATCGAGCCCTGCATCCGGCTCCCTGCTGTGTTCCCTCTCTCGCTGTCTCTCTCTGTCAAAATAAAGAAATAAAATCTTAAAAAAAAAAAAAAAAAGCAGAGTGGTGGTTGCCAGGACCTGGAAAGATTGGGGGACGGGGGTGTTGTTGGTTTTTGTTTGTAGTTTGTTTGTTTATTTAATATATTTTTAAGTAAGCCCAATGTGGGGCTCCAAGTCATGACGCTGAGATCCAGAGTCGCAAGCTCCACTGACTGAGACAGCCAGGCACCCCTGTTTGTTTTTAGTTCAGTTTTTTTTTAGTTTTTTAGTTTTTTTGGCTTTTTAAAGTATAGTTGACACACAGTGTTACGTTAGTTCCAGGTATAAACATAGTGACCCAACTTCACTACGCCTGATGCTATCTATGCTGACCACAGGTGTAGCTATCATCAGTCACCCCACGGAGCCGTGACAATATCATTGACCCTACGCCCTATTCTGCATGTTCCATCCCCGATTCACTCATTCCACAACTGAAAGCCTCCTTCTCTCACTTCCCCTCACGCAGCTCGCCCATCCCCCAGGCCCCTTCCCTCTGGCAACCATCAGAAAGCATCATCTTGGGACGTTTTTATTTTTATTACTTATTTATTGATTTATTTTGGAAAGGGGGAGAGAGAGACCAGGGGTGGGGGGGTGAGAGGGGCAGAGGGAGAGGGAGAGAGAAAATCTTAAGCAGGCTCCACGCCTAATGTGGAGCCCAGTGCAGGGCTCCATCTCATGACCCTGAGATCATGGCCTAAGTTGAAACCAAGAGTTGGATGCTTAACTGACTGAGCCATCTGGGTACCCCAGGGACATTGTTCCTTCATGGGCACAGAGATTCAGTTTTGCAAGATGAAAAGAGTTGTAGAGATTGGTTACACATTTATGTGAATGGACTTAATGCCACAGATCTGTACACCTAAAAATGGCTAAAATGGTAACTTTTATGTTATGTATCTTTTACCACAGTTCATTTAAAATTTAAAAATAAAAAGTAAAAAATAACTAAATATTCAGTTTGCAGGGCGCCTAGGTGGTCCAGTCATTAAGCGTCTGCCTTCGGCTGGGGTCATGATCCCAGGTGGGATCAAGCCCCGCATCGGGCTCCCTGTTCGGCGGGAAGCCTGCTTCTCCTCCACTCCCCCTGCTTGTGTTCCCTCTCTCGCGGTGTCTCTCTCTCTCTCAAAGAAATAAATAAAATCTTTAAAAAAAATTAAATAATAGCAAACATTTATCACACCTAAATCTAGGTACCGTCCTAGATTTATTACGTATTTGTATTAGTTATCTATTGCCCCATAACAAATCATTCCCCAAAACCTAGTGGCTTAAAACAAACATTTATCATCTGACATAGTTTCTGCTGGTCAGGGATCTGGCAGTGGCTTAGCTGGGTGGTTTGTTTTTTTTTTTAAGATTTTATTTATTTGACAGCGAGAGAGAGAGTGAGCACAAGCAGGGGAAGCGGCAGACAGACAGAGAGGGAGAAGCAGAATCCCTGCTGAGCAGGGAGCCCGATGCGGGACCCAACCCCAGGACCCTGGGATCATGACCTGAGCTGAAGGCAGATGCTTAACGACTGAGCCAGCCAGGCGCCCAAAGCTGGGTGGCTCTAACTCCAGGTGTCCCATGCCGGCCAGGGCCGCAGTCATCTGAAGATCTGACTGGTGTTGGAAGATCTGCTTCCAACGTGGATTGCTGGCATTGTTGGCAGGAGGCTCCAGTTTGTCCCCTTCCGGGTCTCTCCATTGGCTGCTTCTCTGCTGTCACAACCTGGTGGCTGACCTCCCTCCCAGGGAGCCACCCAAGAGAAAGAGCAAGGAGGAAGCTTCAATGCCTTTTATGACCTAGTCTTGGAAGTCGCAGAGCAACACCTATGCCATGCTGTATTGGCCAGAAGCAAGTTTTAAGTGCAGCCCATAATCCAGGGGGAAAGGAATTAGCTTCCACGTATCGAAAGAAGGCATATCAGGGCGCCTGGCTGGCTCAGTCAGAAGAGCATGAGAGTCTTGGCCCACATGGGTGTAGATATTACTTAAAGAAATAGAAACTAAAATAATAATAATAATAAAAGAAAAAGAAAGAGGGCGCCTGGGTGGCTCAGATGGTTAAGCGTCTGCCTTCGGCTTGGGTCATGGTCCCGGGGTCCTGGGATCGAGTCCCACGTCCGGCTCCCGGCTCAGCGGGGAGCCTGCTTCTCCCTCTGACCCTCTCCCCTCTCATGCTGTTTCTCTCTCGCTCGCTCTCTAAAAAATAAATAAAATCTTTATAAAAAAAAAAGAAAGAAAAAAAGAAGAAGAAAGCAAGCATATCAAAGAATCTGTGGACAGGGGCGCTGGCTGGCTCAGTCAGAAGTGCACGTCACTCTTGATCTCCAGGTCATGAGTTTGAGCCCCACATTTGGACATTGCGCTTTCTTAAAAAAAGAAAAAAGAAAAAATCTGTAGGCATAGTTTAAAACAGCTCCATACATTAAGTCATCCAGTCCTGACGACAGTCCAACAAGTTGGGTCCCATCATTCATCCTCACGTTACAGAAAAGAAAACCATGGTACAGAGAGGCTATAGGTCACACAGAAGGGGCAGAGCTGAGACTTAAATCCAGGTAGTTGACCTGGGAACCATTTTCGTAATCACTAAAATCAACCAGTAGGGAGAAAACCAATTAAAGAGAAGATATTTAAGAAGGAGCACTGGGGAGCCTAGGTGGCAAGTTGGTTAAGCCTCCGACTCTTGGGTCCGACTCATGACTCGGGTCATGACCTCAGGGTCCTCCAACAGAGCCCTGCCTCTGGTTCCTTGCTCAGCGTGGAGTAGGCTTGGGATTCTCTCTCCCTCTGCCCCTCCCCCCACCCATGCTGTCTCTCTCTAAAATAAATAAATCTTTACAAAGAAATGAAGGAGCACGGACAGCACTTCACTGGTTGGATGTGGGAAGTGATGGAGTCTTGGCTCACACCCAGACACAACCTCCATATTCCTTTGAAAACTGAAAGACATGCATTCAAGGAAGGAAGTACAGCAGAGATGTTAAGAACAGAAGGTTTAGGGGCACCTGGATGGCTCAGTCAGTTAAGCGTCTGCCTTTGGCTCAGGTCATGATCCCAAGATTCTGGGATCAAGTCCCTCGTCGGGCTCCTTGCTCGGCAGGGAGCCTGCTTCTCCCTCTCCCTCGTCCTCCGGCTCCCCCTGCTTGTGAGCTCTCTCTCTGAGAAATGAATAAATAAAATCTTAAAAAAAAAAAAAGTACATAAGGTTTAGCGACAGAGTTAGATAGAACTATAGTCAATTTGGCTTAAGGCAAATGATGTTGCCCTAATTTCATCTTTTTTTTTTTTAACGATTTTACTTATTTATTTGATAGAGACACAGCGAGAGAGGGAACACAAGCAGGGGGAGTGGGAGAGGGAGAAGCAGGCCTCCCGCGGAGCAGGGAGCCCGATGTGGGGCTCGATCCCAGGACCCCTGGATCATGATCTGAGCAGAAGGCAGATGCAGAAGGCAGACTGAGCCACCCAGGCCCTTATTTCTTCATCTTAAATAAAGCTGATAATATTAACTACCCTGTGGGATGTCTGAGGATTAAACAAAATCATGCGTGTAAAACGTTCAGTTTACAGGGTCTGGCACAGAAAAAACACTCGCTAAATGGTAGCTTTCAAATATATCTCTTAGTGAAATTATTTTATTGAATTATTTTATTTACGTAAATACCATCCTATTAAAATGTTGCCCCCTCCCTGTAATTTTGAAGATTTTATTTCTTCGTTTGACAGAGAGAGAGAGAGAAAATGAGTGGGGGAGGAGAGGCAGAGGCAGAGGGAGAAGCAGGCCCCCCGCTGAGCAGGGAGCCCCATGCTGGGCTGGATCCCAGGACCCGGGGATCATGACCTGAGCCCAAGGCAGACGCTTAGCTGACTGAGCCCCCCAGCCACTCTCCCTCCCTGTAATTTTGAGGTGGTGACTCTAACTTGTGTAGTCCCATTTTGCTAAAAAGTAGGAAAATGAGTTTCCTTTGGACTCGTGGTCTGGGCTGGAGGAATTCGGACTAGGGTTCAAGTGGATTTAGAGGGTGGAGAAGGCACACTGCTCAGGACATCAGAATGTGTCAGCGCCTCTGACTCAGTCACTCTACTTGCACCCATTACACGGATGAGTTAACTGAGGCCTGGAGTCGTGCAGGGTCACATGACAAGTTACTGGCAGAGTCCAGCCTTCAAGAACCAGATTTTCTGCAGATAAAGAGGGGCCTCAGTTCCTCATTTCTCAACCCCCTTCCCCACGCTCCCCCTCCTTGATCAGAATCAGTACTAATAGTGAACTGGGCCGTATTCCGGAGAAGGAAGTGACATTTATCATTACTTGAGGAGCCACGGGAAACTCTAAAAAAGGAAGGAAAACCCCCTCCCAAACTTGAGTCTCTCTGAAGGAGGATTTTTTTTTTTTTCATGGTAAGAAATGGGGATGCACGCAATGACCACAGGGAGCCTCCCCCTTGGTCCCGGCTCAAATCTCTGATTTGTGGTCCCGGCTGGGAGAGAGTTTCGGGAGGCTTACAGCGTCGAGGGCTTCCATTACTTAGTAAGGAAGGTATCCCGCAGAAGCAGTTGGCGAGCAAGCTTCTTCAGCCACACTCAAGATGGCAGCTGCAGGACCACGCCCCAAATGGCGGAACCACGAGTCGTGTTTGGAGAGACGCTTTTCCCAAAATGGAGAGGGGAGAGAAAACGTCCATCACATCTTAGCCCCGCCCCCCCGACTGCTAGGGCCAATTAGCGGCCCGCAGGGCGGGTGCCAGACTAGGGGAGGAGGCTGCTGTTGCCCCAGCAACAAGCAGGGATCCCGAAGGCGGGCACAGCCTCGGAGGTATCGGCGCCTCAGGTCCCTCGCTTCCAGGAAGATCCTGGGAGAGGCACGAGCCAAGCCTAGGAAGTCGGCGTCCGCTGAGAGAGGGAAAGGTCAGGCCCATGAACTGCAATCCCTGCTACCTCTTCCCCCCACCTAACCGTTAGGTGCTCTGAGGTAGGAATAACGCATGCGCGGGCTTAGAGGCGGGGCTAAGGCAGCCCTGCACTTAAGACGCATGCGCTTCTTGGCAGTCGGTGGTCGGACGCGAAGAGGCGGAGCTTTATGCATGTGGGCGGGGCCACAGGCCCTTGGGGCGGGGTTTTCCGCCGCGCTGAGCAAAAGGAAGAAGTTGTTTTAGAGGCGGGTAGTTAGGCGCCAACTCCCAGACTTCAACCCACCGCCCTCACTTTTCCGGGGCTCTCCTGGGGAGGCGGTCAGCATCGTGGTAAAGACTGCAACCTCAGTAGTTTGACGAAACTAGCTGGGAATGCTAGTACTACCCCTTAACTTGGTAGGCCTCAGTTTTCCCATCTGTCAAGTTGGAGATAATAGTACACTGACTTGTGTGATTACATTTTTCCCTCAGGGCCATGGCTGAGGTGCACGTGATCGGGCAGATCATGGGGGCCACCGGTTTCTCAGAAAGTAGCCTCTTCTGCAAGTGGGGCGTCCACACAGGTATTCCTGGGCCTGGTTCACTTCCCCACCCATACCCCCAGCCCAGAATTTCTACCCTCCTTCCTTCACCCCCCTGGCCTAATCCCTGACCCTCATCTTCCATTGGCTCCCGGGACTCCTAGCCATGACCATACTCTGACAATGTGAAACGCACATTGTTCTTCCCATCCCATCTCTCTGGGGGCTCCGGCTCCCCATCTCTGGACACACGGCCCCCAACGATGCGGGGATAGACACCCCCCCACACACACACACACTCCCAATCCTCAAAACACTAGCCAGCCTAACCCCACTGGACTTAGGTGTGCCCTGGGTCCCTCCCCCATCTTCATTCTTTGCTTTATTGAGTTCTGACTGTAAAATGGGTTTCCATCCCAGATTTACAGAGGAGAGGCCACCCTCCTGTATTCATAATTCTCTGTGAGAAGGTAGGGACCCCTTCCGATCAGTCATCCATGTTCATGCACACAAGCCCAGGAGAGACTGCGGGGCCCCCAGTTTTCATGCCTCCCCATCAGAGGCAGCATAGCATCCAGTGGAACGGGTAGGGCCCTAGGCCGCCAGATCGGGGCTCAAACACTAACTCCCTCCCCTAGTGGTTGGTGCCCTTTGGACTTGACCTCTGTTTCCGTGTCTAAAAATGAAGCCAACAGCAGCCAAGCAGCAGCAGAGTGTTGAGGTTAAGAGCAGACTGCCTGAATTTGAAACCGCATATTAGCTATGTGGCCTTGGGCACTCGTCTTTGCCTTGATTTGCCTGTCTGTACAATGGGAATAGTAACAGCGCTCATTTCATGGGCTTGTCTCGAGGACCAAAGGAATAGCAACAGCACTGAGGAGAGGGCCTGGCCCAGTAAGTGTTTGCCTGGCTTGTGGAACAACTGGATGGGGTTCTGTTGGGAAAGCCTTGGGTGTGTGCTGCCCCACGTAGAGTAAACACTCACAAAATGGCTCTTGCCATTGTCATCTCTGGAGGTCCTGGGTCCTTTGCGATTTCACCGCTAGGTAGGATGGTGGCTGAGATTCCCGGGGAAAGGGGAGGGGGTCCTGTAGCTGAGCGGATAAGAGGCAGGCTCTGGAGTCAGACTTAGTTTCTTCCTCATCTGTCAAGTGGGAATATTTATCTTTCAGAGGGACGTTGGGAAATCTCGTATGTGAAGAGCCTGACTCGAGGCCTGGTACTTTCCTCACCTGGCCCAGAAGGGAGCGATAGCCGACATGATTTTTATTATTTCAGGGGGCCCTTGGTGGGGGGGACAGTTAATCCAGCAGAGAACTCAGGGGCAGCCAGATCAAGGGCTTGGGCCCTGCAGTCAGAGAAAGCACAGTTTGAGTCCAACATCACCGTGGGACAGTGGTCAGCCATGTTCTTGCTGTGCCCAGCATGGACAACCGTGCTTGGCACACAGCAGGTGTGAAGTAAGTGTTCATGGAATAAATGGCCAAGTAACTTTCCTTCTCAGAGTGTTTCTTTTTTTTTTTAAACTAAGATTTTATTTATTTATTTGACAGAGAGAGAAAGAGAGAGCACAAGCAGGGGGAGTGGCAGGCAGAGGCAGAGGGAGAAGCAGGCTCCCCGCAGAGCAGGGGGAGCCTGATGTGGGACTCGATCCCAGGACCCTGGGATCATGACCTGAGCTGAAGGCAGTCGCTTAACCAACTGAGCCACCCAGGCACCCTCAGAGTGTTTCTTTACCTGTAAAATGGGGATTATATTAGCATCCACCTCCTAGGAGCACTTATTTGTCCAACAAACATTTATTGAGCACCTTCTGTGTAAGAAGATCAGAGTTTTGAGGTCCTGGGGACCCAGCAGTGTGCAAGAGGGGTGCTCTCCTGGGGCTCCCAAGTAGAGGAGACAGAAATTTTTAAAAGCGGATAAGAAAATGAGCTCAGGGAAAAAATGAGAGGAGATGACATGCCAGGGACTAGCATTCGGATAGGAGGGTGAGGGAGCACCCTTCTGTGAGAGGTGGCACACTTGAACTGATCCCTGAAGGATGAGAAAAAACCAGGCACGGGCGCATCCAGGAGCAGAACCTTCTGGGCAGAGGCCAAAGCCAGTGCAAAGGCCCTGAGGAGGGGAACAGAAATCGGGCCAGCGAGGCTAGAGGGTGGTGAGGGATGGGGAGAATGGTGGGAGGTGAGTTCAGGACAGGCGCACAGGTCAGGCCATGCAGGGCCTTGTGGGCTCCCGAGGGGAGACTAAAGTGGGGGTGGGGGGGGATTAAAAATCCCAGAGGGCAGATTAAATGAATTCATGGATAAAGCGCTTAGCACAGCGTCTGACTTTCTTTCGCTATTATTATCAGCCCCGGGAGGATTGCTATTACTACACACCTTTCACCATGTGCCGGAGCTCTTGAAGGACACCCTCGGCCCCATCTTAGTCCTTGGACGAGGCCTCTAACGTGGGCTGAGAAGAGTAATAAAATGCTATCCAGCGCTTACCCAGTACTCACTGTGCCCCAGACGCTGTTCTAAGGGCTTTCTGTGTATTGGCTCATTTAATCTTTTCACAAAACCATGAGGGATGCATCCTTATGCACCCATTTTACAGAAGGGGAGACCAAGGCAGAGACCGGTAACTCGCCTGAGGTTGCACAGGCAGGGTGAAGTAGTACCCGGATTTGAACTGAGACATTTGGCTCTTGAGTCCACACTTTGGTGTTGTTGTTGTTTAAAGATTTTATTTATTTGACAGAGAGAGACACAGCGAGAGAGGGAGCACAAGCAGGAGGAGTGGGAGAGGGAGAAGCAGGCTTCCCGCCGAGCAGGGAGCCCGATGCGGGGCTCGATCCCAGGACCCTGGGATCATGACCTGAGCTGAAGGCAGACGCCTAACGACTGAGCCACCCAGGCGCCCCTTGAGTCCACACTTTATAACCCCTGACCCCCCTGCCAGGGAGAGACAGGGTCCTCCAACCCCACTGTCCTCCCCTTCCTGATGTCTGCTTCCCGTCCCTCCCTGCAGGAGCGGCATGGAAGCTCCTGTCGGGCGTGCGGGAGGGCCAAACACAGGTGGACACCCCCCAAGTAGGGGACATGGCCTACTGGTCCCACCCCATCGACCTGCACTTCGCCACCAAAGGCCTCCAAGGTAGGTTCCCTGCATGAGCCCCGGGCCAGGCTGAGGGGAGGGGGGCTAGCAGCACTTGGAACACCAAGTCCCACCCCTGTTCCCTGGGCCCTTTGGGTCCCTTTCCTGGCCAGACCTGGCCCCGGAGAGGCTGAGCTGGCGTCTCTGCTGGCTGGCTCTGGAGTGTGTAGGATGAGGCCAGAGGCCAGGGCTGCAGGGGGCGAGGGGAAGGTGGGGACCAGGGAGAGAAGGGAGGTGGCTTTCAAAGAGACAAACAGGAGTCTTCCATCAGGAGGAAGCTGGGACTGGGTTATGAGGGAGAGAGGCAGGCTGGTTGCCCTTCTGTTCTGCAGGCTCGGCTCAGCTGCTCACAGGGGAAACGAGTATGCGGGGGAGGAAGGGTATCAGAAAACCTTTTCTCGTGGAAAATTTAAATCACTGGAGAAGAGTGGATTCTAGGAAATAGCCTGGGTAAACATGCCATGTATTTCAACAATACAAATAATATTTACTGAGTGTCTGCCCTGTGCCCCGCCTGTGTTGGGTGATGCCCTGGAAATGTTGGTGATTGAGACAGCAACCCCCCCCCAGCCCTGTCCTCACGGGGTTCACCATCCCCTTGGGAGAGACAGAGCTGTCCCCAGACAGGGCAGCTCAAAGTGGGCATGGTGGGGGGATCCTAAAGGGTAGGGGAGCCCAGAGGAGATGTCTGACTGCCAGGGAGTTCAGGGAGAGCTTCCTGGAGGAGGGGATGTTTGAGCTTTGCCATGAAGGGCTAGTAGGAACTGATAAGCCCGAGGGATGGAAGCGGGTTCTAGGCAGAGAGCTGTGTGTGAAAGGCCCAAAAGGGAAAGTGAGCCAGGGGCATTTGGAGGATTGAGGGTGAATAAGAGGAGGGCCAGGGGTGAGGTGGCAGGGGACAGGGGACGGGCCATGGAGCTGAGGCCATCTCCTGAAGGCACTGGGGAGTCACAACATGTGACTCACAAGTCAGATTTCAATTTTAAAAGATCCTTCTGGCAGCTGTCCTTCAGCTCTGCAGACCCCACGTCCTCCAGTGTGGGCCCCAACCTTGCCTCCTCTTTCCTCACCCCCCATTCTGCCCATCAGGAAATCCCTTTGGCTCTACCTTTCAAAAGTATCCTAAATCCCCCCACTTCTCTCCCCGGGCACCCTGGTCTGCCCACCCTCATCTCTCACTTGGACAATTACAGCAACCTCATCCCTGTGCTCCCACCCTGCCCCCAGAGTCGGTCCCTCTGTGAACACCCAGGTTGGGTCACATTCCTTCCCCACGCAGAACCCTCCACGGTCCGCATCTTACTCAGGGTAAAAGCCAAAGCCTCATCGTGGATCGTGGAATCTGGCCTGTCCCCTCCTCTCCCTCCCCGTCTCTCAGTCTGCTCCAGCCACACCGGCCCCACCCCGCAGCTCCCACCTCAGGGCCTTTGCACCGGCTGCTCCCTCTCCTGGGTGTTCTTCCCTAGATGTCCGTCTACATGGCCCACACCCTTCCCTCCTTTAAGCATTCGCCTACATGTCACCTTCTCAGTGAAGCTTCCCTTGCTCACCCACTTTCTAAAACTGCATCCCCACCCCCACCATACCCAGCTTTATTTTTCTCCAGAGCGGTGATCACCATCTGACATACCCTATAATTTGCTTATTTACTACATTCGTTGTCTAGGATGTCAGGAATTTTTGTCTGCTCCGTTCACCACTGTGTCCCCAGCTTCTAGAATAGGGCCTAGCACAGAGGGGCACAGAAAGGAGGGTGAAATGGGGCCAGATCTCCAAGGGCTTTGCCTACCGGGTTGAGGAGCTGAACCATGTTCTAAGGAGCGTGAGAAACCTAAGGAAGCGGGAGAAAGATGCTTCCAGCTGCCAGGTGGACGGTGCATTGGCGGGGCAAGAAGGAAGGCCCTGGGCCCAGGGCGCACAGAGTGGGCCACTGTGAGGGAAGAAGGGAGGTGTCCGGGACTAGGCCCAAAGCGTTCACCTCGGGACCGCGCTGCCCTGATCTGGGGACACAGAAGAAGAGGCCGTAGAAAGGGATGTCAGCTGAGGCCAGGTCCAGAGGGCCTGGAATGTCGAGGTTGGACTTCTCCTGAGGGCACTGGGGAGCCCTGGAAGGGTTTTCAGCAGGGGAGGACCACAGATTCAGAAAGCTCCCTTGTGAATGGGCGGCCAGAGAGAAGGCCGGGGCGGGGGCAGACACCCCAGCGGGGACCTGTGGAGATCGAGGAGGTGGGGATCCGGGACAGGGAGACCGAGCTACTCCACCTCCCCGAAATTTCCTTCCTCCTTCCCTCCCCATCCTGCAGGCTGGCCCCGGCTCCACCTCCAGGTGTGGTCCCAGGACGGCTTCGGCCGCTGTCAGCTTGCGGGCTACGGCTTTTGCCACGTGCCCAGCAGTCCCGGCAGCCACCAGCTGCACTGCCCCACATGGCGGCCCCTGGGCCCCTGGCGGGAGCAGCTGGCCCGGGCCTTCGTGGGTGGCGGCCCCCAGCTGCTGCACGGGGACGCCGTGTACAGCGGAGCGGACCGCTATCGCCTGCGCACGGTGGCCAGCGGCCTCGTGCACCTGGAGCTGGGGCTACTGCTGCGCCACTTTGACCGCTACGGCGTCCAGTGCTGACCGTGCCCCCGAGGGCAGGCCCCTGTCCCCAGCCCTGCGCGCCTGTCCAGGGCCCGCATGGCCCAGGGCTCAGAAGCGGGGGCTCTGGGCGCTGTCGGGTCTGACCCCAGCCAGCGACCACCGTGGCTTCTGTCCCGGCGAGCACCTCCAGCCCAGGGGCTGCCCCCACAGGTCCAGTTGGCCCATCTGTAAAACGGGGGCAGGAAGCGTGTGGGGCGGCAGGGTGCTGGGTGAGAAGAGGCTGCTGGGCCCACGGAAGTGCTCAATAAAGGAGAGCAGTTCTTACAGGTGTGGGTGCCTTCCTGACTTCCTTCTTCGGTCAGATGTCTTGTGCCCTATCCTCCCGCTGACACCCTCCTTCAGGCCCCCCCTTCTGACACACCCACTTCCCCCATCCTCTGCCTCAGCCTCTGGCCCCCTCCCCACTCTGGGTGCCCCTCTCAGGACCCCACCCGTTGGGGCTTCTCCCTTCCCTGTGCCCCTCTCCCCACTGGGACCCCCGTCTTCTGGCTGGCCCTCTTCCCCAGCCTCCCACTCTCTGTCCGCTGGGGTCCCCGTTCTCTGATTCCCCCCCACCCCGGACCCGGTGTCCCCAACCTCTGAGTGAGCCCTCCCCGCCAGGTCTTCATTCCCTCCGTGACCCCGCGCAGCCCTCTGAGCCACACGCAACCCGCCTGCCCGCTGTGGTCGCGCTCGGCCGCCAGGAGGCAGCACCCCGCTCGCGGGGCGGAGCCGGGGTGCCCGCCCCCTCCCCCCGGGGCTTAAGGGACCCCCCTCGGAGCCCGCCCACGCGAGATGAGGACGGTGGCCCGGCCCCCCCGC